CAAAGCAGGCATCTGTGGGAACCCCCCCATACGTCTCCTTTGAAGCCCCCCTTTTTTCCCTTCCCTTGATTGGGGGGTTCAGACGCCCCCTCAAGAAAGGAGCCGCCCTCCCCTCTCTTTCCCCTTCCCATCCCTTCCTTTGGGGTTCTGCCCCCAAAGCAGGCATCTGTGGGAACCCCCCCATACGTCTCCTTTGAAGCCCCCCTTTTTTCCCTTCCCTTGATTGGGGGGTTCAGACGCCCCCTCAAGAAAGGAGCCGCCCTCCCCTCTCTTTCCCCTTCCCATCCCTTCCTTTGGGGTTCTGCCCCCAAAGCAGGCATCTGTGGAACCCCCCCACGTCTCTTTGAGGACCCCCCTTTTCTCCACTCCCTTGATTAAGGTGATGGGAACCACACAACCCCCCCACCCAGAAAGGGGCTGCAATGGAGGGGACCCTCTTCTCCTTTTACCCCCCCTCTTGATTGGGGGTATCAGATGCTACCCTCCCAAGAAAGGGGCACCTGGGGCCGCAAGGGAGGGGACCTCTTCTCCTTTTAGCCCCCCTTTTCTCTCTTGATTGGGGGTATCAGATGCCCCCACCCCAAGAAAGGGGCTGCAGTGGAAGGGACCCCCTTCTCCTTTTAGCCCCCCTTTTCTCCCCTCTCTCGATTGCGGTTATCAGATGCCCCCAAGAAAGGGGCAGCTGTGACGGCAGGGGAGGGGACCCTCCCCATCTCGTTTTAGCTCCCCCTTTTCTACCCTCCCTTTATGGAGGGGCATCAGATCACACATGCACACACATACACACCAAGAAAATAGTTGCCCCTTTTGCAGTCTGGGTTGATGAGGCCTTGTTAAGAGTTTCCACCACTCCGAAAGTTTAGTTGCTGGCCTCTGCTTTCATTTATTTAGGGATCTCCCCCCCCCCAAAAAAAAACTGCAAATGGCCCCTTGTCACTTTCTCCCTGTTATCCTTTTTCTCCCCCCCCCCCCCTATCCCTCCTTTTTGCTTCCCTGTTGCTAAGCGAGGGAGTTTGGCAACCGAGTCATGCTCGATTTTACAGCCCTTTTGTTGGCCACAGCTGTACTGCTGTTGTTAAGCGAATCGTGCCGGTCCTTAAGTGAATCTGGCATTCCCCCCCCCTCCTGTTGTTGTCAAATCGGGCTGCGGGGGGCGATCTCAGGACCCTGGTGTGCTGCAGCTGTTATAAATACAGCTGCCCAAACTTTAATCAAGAACTGTGAGAAATGCTGCGCCGGTCGTAAGTGTGAGGACCGGTCTGGGTTTTTTCAGGGTGGTCATAACTTCAAGGGGTCGCTAAACAAGCAGGTGTAATTCGAGGACTACTTGAATTCTCTAGGAAAAAAAATATGCTCCCTCCATTTCAGTAGGAAATAAGTATAAGTATAATCTTTATTGTCATTGTACCTAAATACAACAAAATTGGTTATGTCCTCTCTTTTATTTTTATTGTTTTTATTTACAAGACTGGAAGAAAATGTGTTCTCGGTTTTTTTGTTTGGGAGAGAAGGGGAGGTTGGGATGTAAAGAAAGACCGGGCAGGGACCCCATGAGACCATCTGGAGGGGTCTCTTGGCTCATCCTGACCTTTTCAATTGCTTCTCCCTATCCTAACCTGGCTGGGTTTCTTTATGCTTTTGAAGCATCTTCCTTGACTGTGTAGGACATGCATTGCAAAACTGCAAATCCCAGAATTCCTAGAAAAAATGGGGGGGGGGAAACAGCTAGGAATTTTGGGAATTGTCCATTCCACACCCGGCTGTTTCCTAGAAGATGGTTTTCCAATGCTCGCTTGTCTTTACTGCCTCTTTGAAAAGCAGCAAGTGAAAAAAAGAAAGTTAAATAACAATATCCTAAAAAATCAGGCTTAAGTGACTCACACGCACGCATACACACACACACAAAACAACACATGCCTCCTTGCTTAACACACTTTAGTGTCTGCCTTTTAAAATGCACCAGATGTGTGGCCTTTTTCAGAAAATCACCTGGCAGTTTGCATTTTCAAAGATTCTGACTTTACGGGGGATTTGGCTATTTCCTTGTTTGAATCTCTTGGGTTTTCTCACTTTGGTGGTGGTGGAATTTAAATTGTATTTTTGGACTGTTTGAATTGGCTTTAGGCTGCTAGCCCTTTAGAAGTGGCAAATCTCTCTGAAACATCTGTCTGTGTATATGTGTGTGCGTATGTATGTTCCAGCATAACTCTGGAATGCCTCAAGCAATTTCAACCAAACTTGGTAGACAGATGACTTAACTCTCTGGAGAAAAATACTGTGGGGGTAAGACACCCCTAACACGCTTCGGGGGTGGTGGTATTCTGTTAAGATACAGCCTGTTGTGCCTTAAAACGGCTTCTACCGTACTGCTGTAAAATGGCTTCTATTGTACAGTGCTCAGGGTTGCCGTGGTAACTTCACAGCACTCCACAAGGCGTTTCCCTCTGCTAAGAGGGGAAATCCAACATTAGAAATTCATGGAAGGAGGGTTGGGATAAATAAATATCCGGGAAGTGCCGGGATATCAGTTGGTGAGTTAATGAAAGCATGTGGCTGAAACATGTTTTTGTATTCCTGATTTTGTTTAGGAATTTCATTATTCCGTGAGGTCCTGTGTTCTGATTTCATATTATTTTTCCATTTATATCTTATCGATAACAGGTTGTCCTCCACTTACGACCACAATCGAGCCCAATGTTTATGTTGTTCAGTGGGACGTTTCTTAAGTGAGCTTTGACCCATTTCACAACTTTTCTTGCTCCAGTCGTTAAGTGAATCGCTGCAGGTTGAGAAGTTAGTTAACCCAGCTATTAAGTGAATCCGGGGATCGCAATGACCCTGGGCACACTGCCACCATCCGCAACTATGAATCA